GTCAGGAGGCTACAGTCTGAATTTTTTGAGGTCAAGAAGTTGGAAGAGGTGGTTGTTAACCTGGACAGTTCTCCTGCCACTTTAACTGGTGCTAATCTCTCTCAGCTCAAGCGTGCAATTCTGTGCCTGTCAGATTGAAGGGTGAGGGTAAAAGAAGAGCTTTGACTGCAGGTGTACACATAGGAAGGACCATCGCATCCCTATGCCTGGAAAGCTGCTTCACTTCTGGGCCGGGCCTGGGGGAGCGGATTTCAAAGTTTGAAGCTATTTTCTATAGCTGACAGTGACTGTACTGAAGGTATAATGGAAATGGAAGCCTGGACTACTGGAGTTTAAATCCTAGCCCCCAAAGCAACCAGCGATGTAACAGATGACCTCACCTTCGCACCTATAAGAGATTGGAGATGTTCAGAATAACTCATACCTCATAAGGCAGGCATGAGCATGCATTGGAATCACCTGGAAGGCTTAGCCCAACAGATTGCTGGACCCCACCCCAGAGTTTCAGATTCCCTCTCTGGTGAGGCCAAATAACGCGCATTTCTAATAGGTTCCCTGGTACTGCTGCTTGCCTGTTTAGGGATCACTCTTTGGGAACCCCTCTCATCCCTTTGGAATCACACTTTGGGAACCCTTAATATAAGGGACATGAAGTGCCTACTAACATACCTGATTCATCCAGAGGAAGCTACTTCCCCTCAAGTGAATAAGGAACCAGGTACCCACCTTCCCCCAAAATCCTGAGTTCTCAGACTTTCTACAAACTCGCACCCTGATTAACATCTAAACAAGCCGTGTAGGGGCAGCTGGGTGACTGAGTCAGTTACGTGTCCAACTTTGGCTCAGGTCATGATCTCATAGTTCATGAGTTCAAGTCCCACACGGGGCTCTCTGTTGTCAACACAGAGCCTGCTTCAGATCCTCTGTCTCCCTTTCTCTCTGCCCCTCCCCTGATTGTTTGTTCTCTCTCCTCTCTCTCTCTCTCTCTCTTAAAAAAATAAAAAACCTGAATGAGCTATGTAAAACAAAAGGCTGTGAAATTATTATGCATATTTGACAAGGGTACACAGCTAATATTGATATTTCCCAGTTTAAAAGCAATTTTCCCCCTAGAAACAAATTTAGAGTTAGGGGTTTCATGATGGATACATGTGCAAATGTATGGGCTTGCACACATGTAAGTTATACACACTTCTTGGCTCTTTATCTGCTAGCTTCACCCCCAACACATAAGATTTTCATCAGGCTGGTGTACCTTATGTGCTATTTTTTTTAACATGTGTCTCTGGGAGAAAATGTGGAAAAAGGAAGCTTGGAAAAACAAATGTTCTTAGAAGAACTTCAGAGAACCTCTCATTAGAGAGGCAAATTAAAATATTTCAGTCCCTGGCCTGTTCTTTTTAAATATACCAAATAACATCAGCTTTTGATAGAATAAACTTAAGGCTACAGAACTATGTTAAAAAAAAATAGTACTGATATATTTTGCTTGTGCTATAAGGGATATAAAGAAAATAACTTTAAATGTTATTTTCTTGGCTCCCATGAATTTTTTAAATTTCTGAGAGGGAGATACAGCATGAACAGGGGAGGGTCAGAGTTAGGGAGACACAGAATCTGAAGCAGGCTCCAGGCTCTGAGCTGTTGGCACAGAGCCCGACACAGGACTAGAACCTACAAACTGTGAGATCATGACCTGAGCCGAAGTCAGATGCTTAACCAACTGAACCACCCAGGCACCCCACCCCCCCTTCCATGAATGTTTTTATGAGACAAAACCCCAGGTGTGAACCTGAGGGATTATTCTAATAATCTCCAATGTCCTGGACTTCCTGACATTGCATGCAACCCTTGATTTCTTTTTATTAGCCCACTTTCCAAAGCCTTGACATGCTGTGACTTCCAGCATTGGAGAGAATAGTCTCATGGCCTAGGATAAAGCTCTGATTTATTGCTCTAGCCTCATATTTGACTTCCTGATTGAAGGTGTTATTGAATCCATTGATGCAACTAATGGTATAATCGACCGCATTTTAAACTGATGATAACTGTTGAATATCGAGGCATTATACAAACATCAGTAGCTTAAGCTTTCTGTCAAAAAACTGGCTGGGCTTTGAAATATATCTTTGAAATGATATATATATATATATATATATCATTTCAAAGATACATACACACACATATGTATAACTTTTTTTTTTTTAAGTTGTAGCAACAGGTACCAAAACACAAGCCAAAAAGCGTTTCAGAGTCAGAACACTTGACTGCCAATGGCAATAGCAGTCTTGGATGTCAATTTGAATTTGGTTCTTTGTCCAAATCTTCCTAAACTGAGATTATTTCAGGCCATTTCCCCCCTCATGCATTATGTAATGTCTGCAAAGAGAGGTCAGATGGAGGAAAACAGCAGGGAGCCATGGCAGAAAAACACGGGAAGTGTTGCCTTAGGCTGTCACGCATCTTGTAAACCCAGAGCCCCCTAAGGTCCAGCACAGATGCAACTGACAGGACTTCTAAACCCCAATCAGTTCATTCCTAGGAAAGGCAACCAGCAGGAATTGAAATAGTAATTGCTTTCCTTGATTCAAAGAAATCATGGATGAAACGATTAAACAGATTAAGGCTTACTTCCTTCAGTGCCCCAGAATAAATGCAGTCTGGTTTTCTGATAGAACTGTAACTGTCAATCAAGGGATTAGGCCTTCAGGGGGTGGAGAGAGGAGGTGGCCTTAAAATGCATTCAAATTTGCAAACTACAGCTGTGTATTTTAATCCTGGAGTTACACATTGATCTTGCCCCCTCTTTGAAGTCTGCTGTTCTATCAGCTCCAGGCTTTCTGCCCTCAACCACTTTTCTTACATATTTTTTTAAAGAGATCTTTTAAAAACTCAATTAAAAATAGTACTGCATCGAATCGCCCAAGGGGGAAATATAATTAAAGGTAACGATTTGTATTACCCTTGATGAGGATAGACTTCTGACATGTGATTAACTTTGAAATACGCAATTCCAATGATTTCTTCAGAAACGCAGCATTGTATATCTTAAAAAATTTCTTCTCTAGCTCATTTGGGGTTTTGTACTTACAAGAAGACTGTTTATCTATTTAGTGATTCAGTGGAGGGCTGCGTGTAGGTTTTTAGTCTTAGCAAAACATAATGCCTGTTGGTTTAAGTCGTATCAACTGAGTACAGCAGCAAAATGCACATTGTTTTCTCATTAGCTGTCAAACAATTGTCTGCACCTATTAATTTTTTGAAAAGGTAATAGGTATTTCTGGAGAAACCAAGAGAAAGTGGCAGAATAAATGGTAAGCCATTTCTCATATGATGACAGAACTTAAGTATTTGTAAGTTTCTGACCGTCATCAGTCAAGGTTCTGGGTCCATTATCGCAACCTTGACATCTGGGTTCTTAATCTGCAAATCGAATTTCTCTCCATCATTTTCCTGCCTGAAAACAAAAGTCCCATCAGCCCGGACTGTGTTTCTTAATGTTTCCATGCACAATAAACAAGCTGATGGGTTGGTTATTATGTTGAACTAGGAGAAATCCATCCATCTTCCCGTCTGCCTATTTCACCATCCATCCTTCTGTCTATCCATCCATTTGTTGAGTCATTCATCCAGTCTCTTCCTTGGTGCTCATAGCATCAGCTGTGAATAATGAACATTTATTCCTCACTCTCCTGGAGCTTGCAATCTAACATGGAAGACAAATTTTGAATAAGTAACTAGACATTTGAGGAAAGCTGTAGAAAAGACTGGCAAGGAACATGGTGGTGGGCAGAATGATGAGTGACCTTCAGTAATCATCATCTTTGCATCATTCCCTCTGCTTTGGGTATGTGTGGAACCTGCAGATGTAACACGGTATCACTCTTTTGATTGTGTTATTTGTCCAGAGGGAAATTATGCCAGTGGGCCTAATCTAATTATATGAGCCCTTTAAAAGCAGAGTATTTTCTCTAGCTAGTGGGCAAAAAATGAGGAATCAGAGAGAGTCCAAGCTTAAGAAGGGTTTGATGCACTGTTATTGGCTTGAAGTTGGAGGTGGCCATGAGATAGAAATGTTGGTGGTTTCTAGAGGCTGAGAGCTGCCCCTGACTGATGGCCGACACGGAAACAAAGACCTCAGTCTTCCATCTGCAAGGAACTGAATTCTGCCAACAACCTGAGTTAACTTGAAAGTGAATTCTTCCCCACAGCGTCCAGGGAAGAGTTCAGCTCATCTGACACCTTGAGTTCAGCCATGTGAGACTGCTACGGGTTGAACTTTGTCCATCATGAAAAGATAACATTGGTGCCCTCACCCTCAGTACCTGGGAACAGAACTTAATTTGGAGAAAGTGTCTTTGCAGATTCGGTCAAGTTAAGGTATTAAGTCCTGAGGGTGGGTCTTCACCCAGAATAATGGGTGTCCATGTAAGAAGAGGGATATTTGGATCCAGGCACACCTGAGGAATGCCATGTGAAGACACAGACACAGGGGAGAATGGCCACATGAAGACGAAAGTGGGCATTGGAATAATGCTACCACATGCCAAAGAATGCCTGGGGCTATGATAGCTTGGGAGAGACCAAGAGGTCCATAGAGCCCTCCCATGCAACATGGCCATGACACCTTGAGTTTGCACGTTTAGCTTCCAGAACTGAATAAATTTATGTTTTTTAAGCCACCCCAGTTTTGGTACTTGGTTACTTCAGCCTTAGGAAATGAAAATGGCAAGCCTAAAGCAGAGTACCCAAGTTGATCCTACCCAGACCTTTGATCCACAGGACCGTAAGACAAAATGGGTGTTGTTTTAAGCTCCTATGTTTGAGGTAATTATATAGCAGTAGACAATGAATCCAGAAGAGTATGGAAAGAGTGCCTAATCTACATAATCTGAGGGCGGTTTTCTGTGGAGGATGTGTAAAATGAGGGAAAAGAATAAGTAAGAATTCACTAGCAGGAAAGAGAAAGGGAAGATTGTTCCCAACAGAAAGAACAGCACATGCCAATGCCTCGAGACCGAGAAGAGCGAGCTGTTCTCAAGGAAGTAACCTGTTCAGGCCTTTTCTCTCTCAGATAGTGTTGCTGTCAACGTCAGGTCTAACCTAGGTGCTGGAGGTAAATTACACACCTACAGGTGTTGTCCTTGTTTTTCCAGAGCTCAGATTCAGTAAAGAAGATTAACAACATAGACTACGGAATAAGAATTGCAGTTCCTAAGGTGGGTTGTGAGGGAATAAAACGTGGGACTGACTCAGAAATATACAGAGTATTGGACGGAATTGATAAGGGAGGGTGATGTATGGAATCTGGGGAGGTAGGCAAGGCCAGGTCAAGGAGGGTGCTGCTGGGGCGCCTGGGCGGCTCAGTTAAGTGTCTGACTTTGGCTCAGGTCATGATCTCACGGTTTGTGGGTTTGAGCCCTGTGTTGGGCTCTGTGCTGACAGCTTGGAGCCTGGAGCCTGCTTTGGGGGTTCTGTGTTTCCCTCTCTCTCTGCCCCTCCTCTGCTCACTCACGCTCTGTCTCAAAAATAAACAAACATTAAAAAAAGAGGGTTCTGGGACTGTCTGCTTCTCTCCCTGCGCAATATTTCAGGAAATCACTGTCTCCCTTATTATAGTGCTCAGTAGTATACTGTTGTAATAATCTTAGCACCCTCTATATAGTAGCCACCTGCACCTTCTCAAATGGAGGCAGCAGAGAAAGTTCTAGACCATTCCCCTAAGTGAACACAGATTGTATCTCTTGGGTGGTAAGATATAATCTGTCCTGGAGCACTGGGCTTCTGCTTAACCAAATATAACCACAATATAAATAGCCAAAACCCTCTGCTCCCATTTGTACTGCAGACTTGCCTTATTTCTTGAATTTCAGTTTGCTTACATTGTGTGCGAATGTGTGTGTCTGTGTGTCTGACTCTCTCTGAGCTCCCCAAGATGACCTTCGGTTTCAGTGATTGACTGGAAGGACTCACAGAAGTCAGAAAAGCCTGGTTATAGTTATTATATAGATATTATATAATATGTAGTTATATTTACATATGCGCAAAAAGATACGGATTTAAGTCAGCAAGGATGCGTAGAGCAGACTGGGTACCGGCTTCCAGGTGTGCTCTCCTCAAAGAGTCACCTGACAGTGTGTGACAGCACACACAGAATACTGCCAGCCAGACTATCTCACTTGAGCCTCAACATCCGGGGTTTTTCTGGGGTGTCAGTCACATAGGCTTGGAGTGTCCACATGGCTTATGTTAGTCACTCAGTCCCTACTCTCTCCAGAGGTCACAGTGTTACAGTAGAGCCCACAGCTCTACAATTAATCACATTGTTAGTGTAAACTATCTGGCCTGGTACAAGGCCCAGGGTAAGTAAGAACTCTCTTACCAGGCAGGGTGTTCGAAGGGCTTAGAAATTATCTCCTAGGAGCTGGGGGTGGGGGTGCGTATCTTTCTTTGGAATGTGCAGGATTTGAATATCTCAGACCTGCCGAATCAACACTTTACTATAACACATTTTTTTTCTCTCCCTCCCTTCCTCTCCCTCTCCCTCCCTCCCCCTTCTTCTCCCTTCCTCTCTCTGTCCTTATTTTAATTCCAATTCTTGTTTCCACAAAATGTTGACAGCATTGTCACTAAATTCTTAGCAAAACCTGAAAATCCTTCTGCAGTGCTTTTCTTTTATATCTCTTGCTATAGTGGTTTACAGACATAAATTCACACTGTAAATACACTCGGGAGACTTCTCTCTCTGTTTAATCTTCATTGAGAGTGAGTTGACACCCAGTCAGGTGCACAGAAGATCACCCTGTCTTGACAAACGTGTGCACCCATGTAACCCATGCTTTCATCAAAATGTAGAATGTTTCCATCACCCTGGAGAGTTCCCTGACGCCCCTTCGCAGCCATTCTCTACCTACCTGCCCCCTGTACTCCACCCCAGTCTCCTGGAACCACTTCCTGTTCTCATATCTCACCAAAAATTAGCAGTTTGTTTTAAAACATGATACAAAGGGACACAAATGATGTGTGGTCTTTTTGCTTATCTTCCTCTCACTCAGGATAATGCTCTTGAAGTTCGCCCATGTTAGCGTGCATTAGCAATCTATTCCTGTTAACTGCTGAGTGGTTTTCCATTATGTGGCCACAACACAATTTATATATCCATTCTCCTTTTATGGGCATTTGGATTCTCTCTAGATTTTTATCTATGATGAATACCAGTTGCTGTGTGCATGCCCACACAAGTTTTTCTGTGAACTTAAGTTTTCATTCTTTTGGGTAAATCGCTAGGAGTGGAGTTGCTGACTTGTAAGGTAGGTATGTGTGTATCTCATCTGCCAAATCATTATGTAGAATGGTTGTGTGATTTTTACACACCTCCCAGCACTATGTGAAAGATAATGGGTTCTTTACATCCTCTCCAACGTTGGCTGGTTGCCTTGAACTTTAGCTCTTTATACAGGCTTACCATGGTCTCATGTAGTTTGATTTGTATTTTCCTGATGATTAATGAGGTTAACTTGTTTATGTGCTTATTAGCCATTCACACATAATCATTTGTGAAGCATCTGTTCGAGTCTTTTCTTATCTTTAAAGCTGGGTTCCTGGGGGGCGCCTGGGTGGCTCAGTTGGTTACGCACGCAACTTTGGCTCAGATCATGATCTCACAGCTCGTGAGTTCGAGCCCTGCGTTGGGCTCTGTGCTCACAGCTCAGAGCCTGGAGCCTGCTTTGGGTTCTGTGTCTCCCTCTCTCTCTGCCCCTCCCCTGCTCATGCTGTCTCTCTGTCTCTCTCTCTCAAAAATAAACATTAAAAAAAAATGAAGCTGGGTTGTTGGAATTTTTATTATTGGGTTGTGGAAGTACTGTTCCTGGCTTAGTCTTTCTTGAGATTTTGATACAATAGGTCCAGTGTGGGTCCCTACATGCTTCTGAAGTGCAGACAAGTTTGAAGACCATGCATGAATGGGTAACGGGTGAATTTCCTAAGACTTTAACTGTTCTGGGTAGCCGTAACTTGACATTTTCCCATCCAGGGGCTGGGCTGGTGGTTATTTTAGACTGTCAAGGAACACATTTGAAAAACGACTCCCAGTGTGTTGTTTTCTTCTCACCCTGAACCAAACACTGAATTTTAATGTGAAACTTGAGCTAGAAAATTCCCTGGTTGGACATAGTCACTTAAACCACATCTGAGTTGCAGAGAAGGAATCACTATAGCTGGTAAAGCGTGCTTGAGTTCATTGTCTTAAGCCACATTTTGTCTTCCCTCTCTCAAAGGGAAATGTGGACGCTGGAATGTGGAGGGCTATATGAAATTTGCACTTTTTTTTCCTAAGAACAGTCATTTTGGAAACAACTAATACCTTGTGTTAACATTCATTTCATACCAGTTTGTCTAGCAGACAACTTTCCTGACCCCAAATGTTAAGCTTCTGCTCAATAACTCCTTGAAACTTCATACTGATTCACAGAATATATTGAACCACCTCTCTGTTTAGGACCCCTAATGACCCTCAATAGAAAAGATTAAACAAATAATTCCACCCAAATATTTGATAAACCTTAGACATTGTCTTTTTAAAGCTTTTTAAAGTTTATTTTGAGAGAGAGAAAGAGTGAGCAAGAGAGGAGCAGACAGAAAGGAGAGAGAATCCCAAGCAGGCCCCATGCTGTCAATGCAGAGCCTGATGTAGGACTCAATCTCATGAACCATGAGACCATGATTTGAGTCAAAACCAAGAGGCAGCGCTTAACTCAATAAGCCACCCAGGTGCCCTAGACATTTTTTTCTTTAAAAGAAAGTCCAGAATCCTCAGTTCAGGGGATTGAAGGATAAAGGAATCAAAGCTTATACCAACTTAGGCATCTGAAAGTGTGCCAGTTGATTATTTCTCTTTTCCAAGGAGCCCCATGCCTTAATAAGCTAATACAAAGATGGCATGTTGAATGCATCTCATTGAAAATGCTGATTGATGTGGATTCCTGGAGGGTCATGCAGAGGCCCTTCCTTTCTTAGGAAAGCAGGATGTGCTTGCGGTGTAATGCCCACCATTCCTGAGCAAGAAAGTTTCAATACTGTGTACTTGACCTTTCAAGATATGAGGTTCTAAAGTTAGCCAGAGAGCAAAAGCAAACAAATTATACAGTGTCTATCAAATACTCTGTTATCCCAGTGTTTAGAAAGGCTCATCAGTCAACTTTCCACTCTCCATGTAAGTGAGGGAAGATATTTTCAATCCTATGGAAGGAAGATGTTCAAAACCTGAGTCTCCAAACGATCTTTGCTCTAGGGACCTAATCTGACGTTGGTTTCACTTCCTGCTCTTTCCCACTAGGTCAAGGTCGAGAAAGACCATGAAAAGTTCACCCCAGATCCTTTACTTCATTTACAGCTCTCGCTGAAACAGCTGATAAAGAGAGGGAGGAGGAAAACCCAGGCTCCCACCTGGGCAGCTTCTGGGTCGCTGGTAGATTTCCATTATCCTTGTCATGGCAGACTGGAGATTTGAGAGCTGGGGCGGGTGTGTGTGTGTGTGTGTGTGTGTGTGTGTGTGTGTGTGTGTGTCAGGGAGGATTTGCACAGGATGCTGAAATGTGAAAGAAGTGATGACTATGTGTTGGCCCTGTTTGATTTTATTCCAGGGGAAACTGCATTTTTAAAACTCTTGTGAAAAACGTGAGGCTTACTGAACGCGCAATTTCATATTATTCTGCACTGAGGTAACTTTCTGCAGATACAGGGTTGCCTTACCCAGCAGTGCCGGGAAGAATGCACTTAACCATGCCTGATTTTTGTTTTTATGTTATGTTTTTAAACTTGCCATCCAGGAAAAATTTCTTCCTTTTTCTTGGCCTGGAGTAGTGTTGTCACTGACTCTCATAAACTGCAAACAGGTAAGTCCTGTGCTGTAGTTTTCATACGATGGTTTGAAAGAGGTAATTTTAGGGGCGCCTGGGTGGCCCAGTTAGTTAAGCGTCCATCTTTGGCTCAGGTCATAATCTCAAGATCGGTGAGTTTGAGTCCCCCCCGCATCAGGCTCTGTGCTGACAGCTCAGAGCCTGAAGGCTGCTTCCGGTTCTGTCTCCATCTCTCTCTGCCCCTCCCTTGCTCGCTCGTGCTCTGTCTCTCTCTCTCAATTATAAATAAATATTTAAAAAATTACAAAAAGCAATAGGTAACTTTAATACAAGTTACTTCGGTTGGAGGCAGAGACTATTACTCACCTCTGCAAACAAATTTATTGGAGGATAGTTGGGAATGGGGACATCCTCTAAGCCCAAAATGTCGTCACTTCCTTGGGGACCACATACAAAACCGGCAGCTAGATTACCCTTTTCCTAAAGAGGCACTGGTCCAGGCGCAGGTGAAATGGGAAAGAAGTGTTTTCCCACTACATGTATATAGGTTTTGGTGTATGTAACATTTTTGTACTTTTGGCCATACCTATATTTCTTAGAAATATGCTAAACATTCCTAGCAAGACAGAGTCAGAGTATCTATCATGTAGATGTTAATTTATAGCTTTATAAAAATATATCCATCTTCCCTGGCCATTATTCATGGGAGCTAGTTGGGTGGAGAAAAATTGATCTCTACTCTAGCTCATATTGGAAAATGAAATGAGAAATTGACAACAAAGATTGTAATTGTTCACGTCCCAGGCACCAAAATGAAAAGATAAACTTGAAGTTTAGAGAGACGGCGCTAGCTGTTCTAATTCAGTCAGGAAAGTTTAATGGATGTGCGTACCTCAAGAACGGTAGCCTCAAGAGGGAAAGAGAAAGACAGAGAAAACAAAAGACACAGATAGACACAGAGGACAAAAAAAATGTCTTTTTCCTAAAACCGTATTAGTTGTTATATCTCAGCTAACTTAGAAATTCAAAAAGGTAGAAACATGAGACAGCATAAGGGTGACTGGTCTTTAAAACAGAAACACATGGGGTGCCTGGGTGGCTCAGTCGGTTGAGTGTCAGAGTCTTGATTTCTGCTTAGGTCATGATCTCATGATTCATAGGATCGAGCCCTGTATCAGGCTGCATGCTGACAGCACAGAGCCCACTTGGGATTTTCTCTTCTTGTCTCTCTGCCCCTCCCCTGGTTATCTGCTCCCCTCTCTCTGTTTCTCTCTCAAAAATAAATGAGAAAAAATTAGAAACAAATTAGAAACAAAATAGAAACACATGAGGCAGAAGTGTTTAACACCAAGCTTCTGACTTTCTTATGCATCCTGTTATTTTTATGCAAACAATTTTGAAGTATAATGAACATACAGATAATCGCACAGACCTTCCATGTATATACCCGTGTAATCTGCACCCAGATCAAGAAAGAGGATGTTTCCTGCACTCCTGGAGCCCTTCAAAGTCATTACCCCCACCAAGAGTCACCACTCTTCTGACTTCTGACATCACAGATTTATTTTGCCTGTTTTTGAACTTCATAAAAGGGAAGAGGTGTCTTTGGTATCTGGTTCATTTCTCTTACTAACATGTTTGTGAGATTCATTCTGTTGTGGCGTGCAGCAGTAGTTGGTTCATCTCATAGATATTCCATTGGTTCTACTCCTAAGTTTTTACCCATTCTAATGGTGATAGGTAGTTCCTTTGTTTTTTGTTTTTGCAGTTTTGGGCTCTTAACAGTTTTTGCATATTGTTGTGATCAACCTCATACAGATCTTTTGGTGAATCTATACCCACATATTTTGCCTCCATGTATCTGAAGAACTGTAGTCTCACAGAAATCTGAGAAACAGAAATTTAAGTATTTTTCAAAAACCATGCATCTTCAAGGACAACAATTTCAAAAGGGTTGATGGGCCCTGCTAAGAGAAGGACCAAAAAGAAGACAGAAGTAAAGCAAAATCTGTTTTGTGACGTTTGTGTCTTGCAGGGCGCTCAGAATTGAGTTTGCTTTGAAAATGTTAAAATTTGTTTAGTGATTCATATCTTCAACTAATTGCTTTGATCTTTAAAGTAATGGAAACAGTGGAAAGAGGAAGGGAGTGGGTACTCCCCTGCTTGACAATTAAGTTTTAAGGAGATAATCCCTAATGATTACAGAGCACACAGAGCTCCTCCAGCCTCATTGGAAACATTTTCTCTCAGTAACAAACTGACGGTGGCATTTTCAGAATATGGCTTGCCAGTTTCACAGGCATTGTAAATTCCACAGTAACTGAAGTTTAGATTCTCTAGTAGTATGATTTCTTTCCGGGATTTAAGTAAACTTTGACAAACTATATACCTGTGCTGTACATGTAAATTAGACATAGATTTAGAAGAATCATTAAAAATTGTATCACAGGAGCAACTTAAAAATTTTTATTTACTTATTTTGAGAGAGAGAGCCTGAGCAGGGAAGGGGTAGAGAGAAAGTCTCAAGCAGGCTCTGTGCTCAGGGAGGAGTCCGACACAGGCCTCAATCCCATGAAGGGGAGATCAGGATATCAAGAGTTGATGCTGAGTAGGGACACTTGACCAACTGAGCCATCCAGGCACCCGTGTCGGAACAACTCTTGATACAGATTACATTTTAAATGATAATATCATAGGTACATAGGGTTAAATAAAGTATTAAAATTAATTTCATCTATTTTTATTAAGGCAGTTACTAGAAAATTTAAAATTACATAGGTGGCTCACATTAAATTTCTGTTGTGCTTTTCGACTTTGACATCACCTTTCCAACCAAGACTGGTGGTTCAGCCCAGAAAATGATGAGTGTGACAGGATGGGAAAAAGAAGTTTTTCAAATGTGCTTATTTTCTGAGTACTTACTTTTCACATCTACCCACAGATTCCATGGCATATGTGGGCTTAATTTGGTTGCCACTATCTTTTGCCTAGTTACTTCATTGTTCTTATCCCTGGTTAAAGATAAGAGCCCCACATCTTTCATTCATTCATTCATTCATTCATTCCTTCATTCAGTAAACATTCATTGAGTTTCTACTGTGTGGTAGCAACTAGGCAAAGCAAGGGAGATTCAATGATAAAAGAGCTTAGAGTGAAGTGGTAGAGACAAGAGAACACAGTGAGTGTATAGAAGGTAAACCTTGGGGAGGGAAGGGAGACATTATAGAGCATGACCTCCTTTCACTTTTGACCAGTGCCCTTCTACTCCTGTGTCTTATGTCAAGAAGTCAGAGGATCAGGAGGGTCACCACGGATGTTCTGGGAAGGTCTTACATATTCATTCAGAAATCACTTACCTGTTGAGCTGTGCCTTCCGGCTGATGCTTTGGAACACTATCTCAAATGGAATGGTGGGGAATCCCCTCAATTGACTTTTAAAATTCAGAAAGGGGTCCAACATAGTTTTCCTAAAAGAGCATGGGGGTGTTCTCTCATGTTATGGAAAGGGTACATTTTGAACCAGTTAATTGTTTGTTTTCTTTTGGGGCCTTTAAAATGGGATTGCATGAACATCTGAAGCCAGAAGACTTGTGTGATTCAGATTATAAAAGATGACTTTTTGTTAACTCGTGTCCTAGCAGGGAGGAATTGTTTCTGAAAAGAATGACAGTGTCTGGGTTCAGACTTCAGCTCCGACACTCACTAGCTGATTAACCTTGGGGATATTAGCTAGATTGTATCGCCTCATGCTTGAAGGTCAGCCAATATAGGAAGGTAAAAGGGCTTTTGAAAAGTGATATTTATTTGATTATAACAGCAAAATTAAAATGCTTATTGTGTAAAATGTACTCATGCAAAAAGTATATAAAAATAAGCTTAGGGAGCCTGCATGCCTCAGGCGGTAGAATATCTGACTTCGACTCAGGTCATGATCTCATGGTTTGGGAGTTTGAGCCCCACATTGGGCTTGCCGCTCTCAGCACAGAGCCCACTTTGGATCTTCTGTCTCTCCCTGTTCGTTTGAATAAATGAACATTCAAAATAAATAAATAAATAGATTAAATTTTAAAATTCACCTGCGTATTCCCACCACCAGAGAAAAATATGTTTAGATCTTTGCACATTTCCATATCCAACTATTTCTGCATATTACCTTTTGGTAGTTGACTACACTGATATAACTCTGCATCCTGCCTGTTTCATTTGACATTATTGCGTAAATATTTTGCAGAACAGAATTTTCGAATAAATATTGGGTAAAAGTGTTTTCAGAAAGAAAAACGTTTTAATGACATACTTTCCATTTTGTATATAATTTGTTATAGGATGAACATAATATTTAATCTTCTGGAGGGCATTTAGCTAGATAAGAGACATTTAAGTCATGGAGGGCAGGAAGGTAAACAAAAGGCAGTTTAAAGTTTTAAAGCAGAATATAGTATTTTTAAAGTTTAATTTGAACGTCAACATAATGTCCCTTCTGTTTTTTTTTAAGGTTAAAAAACAATGCAAATGAACAGGTATAACAACCTTACTGGCTTTTTCCAATGATGCCCGAATCAGCCGGCTTCCCATCTAACAGTTAGAAAGGAGCTCCCAGGAGCTGTAC